GTAAAAAAATATATATATTAGCGATTATTATAAATAATTATATAGAATATGTTCATATAAATATAAATTAATAGAATATATCTGCTTTGATGTGAAGTATTTAATATCTTTTTGATAATTAAATGGACTCGTAAATAGAGTTTAAATAAATTAATATGAAAATTCGTGTTTTAACATTTTATTTTCTCAACTGTATTGCACAATGAGAAATTACATAAAAAAATTCGATCATTTATATGTATATATTAATGATACATTTATTATGATACTGGATACTGCAAAATGTTTGTTTACATTTTTTTAGCAGATTCTTGTGACAGAAATAATTAGTATTTATAGGTCACCTTTTCGCTGTGCTTTTTAAAATGACTCAGTCGAATACGTCCCTATTTTCATGTCCTAAACATGTTTAAATATTTATTACGACATGATGCATCTTCAGAGAATAATAAATTACGTCTCCAGTCTTAGCAATACAGAACTTTGTTATATCAAATCGAATTTCTTATTAATCCTACTGTTTAGGCTCACAAATTAAAAATATTAAAATATTTCATATTTCATAATACCCACTATTACCATCAAATATTATTGAGTTCACCTATTGTAAAATATGATTAACGAAAGATTATTTTACAAAAACGAATATTAATAATATTAACTGACGTTTTCACAAAGATAAGATAATTGTAATGTTAAATAGATCACAAATATAAAATGAATATATACCTTTTAGAATTTTTTCTATACATCCTCTTTGTTTACTTTTACAATAAATAATGAAAATATTGATTCCATTCCGTATCAAATAAATCTTTCGTTATGAAATATTGCTTCGCAAATTTCTTACTTGATTACAATTACCTATAATTACTGCAAGCAGCAGCCCGTGTCTCAGTATAAACAAACAATAATCGTTGTTTGATCACTGTTACTTGGTGAAAATAATTTTATGTTTTCTGCACTCCAATGTAAGAGAGCACTTTGACAAACAACACTCCATACATATGGAATGAAAAATTCTTCTGGTTGTTCTTCTTCCACGTATTTAAATTTCAGTTCTGGAAATTTCTGTAAGATATGCAAACGCTAATTAGACTATATAGCAAAGTTGCAATGAAAAGTAACTTGTTCATTCAAAATTTAATACATAAATGAACAATACTTCTACAGCCCTATATTATTTTCATATTAATGTTTTAAATTTTGTGGGTAATTTATAAGGTAAAAAGAGTTCATGTTTGCCAAATTATAACGAGTCGAATAGAATACTTGTTTTACATAACTGTATTGGCAACATCATCTGCTTTGAACGAACAAATTTTTATGTAATTTAAGAACTAAAGAAAGTCTAAATAAAGAAAAGCACACATGGAATTATTTATGCGTACCCTTAATCGATCACGAGGCCATTCGCTAGTACCTTGTTGAATTGTAGTTAATACTTGACTAACACCAAGTTGAGATTGATCTTTCTGCTCCAATTTATAAGAAAAGAAATTAATGACCTAAAATTATATTTGTCATTAATTTACGTAATGGCAAACTTAATATACTACAAATACTAAAAATAGTTATTTCACTTACAGAATCTATATTTTGCACAATATCTTGAAATGCTGTGTGTGTTCTGAATGGTTGGAAAATATCTTTTTTGTATAAAAGTGTGTATATTAAATTTGGATTATGTGCAAGCCTGTAAGTTAAGCAGCTATTTATGATTTCTAATACCATTCTCAATACTTCTTCAAGTATTGTTAGATCTTGAATCTGAAATATAGAGCATATTGTTTATGTTAGATTCTATTTTTTAATAAAATTATTTGATGACGTATACTGCTGAACCTTACCAAGTCTGAATTTGCGGTAGTTCCATTAACTGCAACGGCGGTGCTTTCAGGTGGAGGAACGGTAGGCTGTGCCTGTATTTTCGCTTCCAACCTGACGTGTTTCTTCGCAAGAGTTTCAAATAAACTTAAGAGTCTTTGACTAACATAGGGATGTAAAGATGTGAACTGCGCAGACATATTTGCTAAAGCTGCTAAACAATTTGTGTGCAAATATTTATCCTACAATGAGGAATTAAAAAATATTTTGTTACCTATATCTATGATTATTTATATTTGTAAATTTATATATCTTACTCTCATCTTGAACATGTTGTATTGAATTGTCCTTATAACAACAAGAATTAAAAGACCTCCTAATGATATTTCACTTATCGATCTTTCCGTGTACCAACTTACACCTCTAAGCATCTAATAATGACAACATTATTTAATATAATCATATTTTTATGTACAATAATGAAAAATAATATACAAATTGATTGATGTTTACACATGAATATACTTACTATTTCAT